GCCACCGTTCCACCACGCCACGGCCCTCTGCCAATCTGCTACTGCTGAATGAAGACGTTCCCCACGCCGCGAGCTACACGGGGTTGCTTGACGCTATGGCACCGGCCACCGTAATCGCCCAAAAAGAGGGTCCCATCTTTGCGTGAGCCACCAACCCCCGCTCCTGAATGCTTGCATTCTTGACGCGGTATCATCATTGCCAACGCAGTGAACAGAGAACCAACGTATCCGCCCGGCGCTCGCGAGCATGTGACACCACGAGGTGCGATGCCGACTCGTATAACTTACAACAACATTATCGCTACTGGTTCCCGGGTTGGCGCAGAGGTTCATTTTGGCTGTGTCAGAGATATTGAGCTGGTAGTGCTGACATCCTGGGTTTATGGTTCAAGCTCGGAGTCTGTGCGCCTCTCAGGAGAATGGCCATGTTAGAGACACTGGGCCAGCAGTGATAAAATGTTGGATTCAAGGTTGAAGTCCTGGACCTGTGTGTGTGTGTGTCTCAGGGGCTCATACTGGCTGTGTCAGAGACATTAAACTGACACCACTGAGATCCTTGGTGCACGTTTCGAGCCCTTGGTCCAAGTCTCTCTCTCAAGGGGTTCAAAAATTGGCCGTGTCAGACAATGCGCTGGCGCCAATTCAAGGTCCAAGCCCGTGCTTGGTCTGGGCCCCTTTCGCTCAGGAGTTCATCATGGACGTTTGAGAAACACCGAGCCAGCACCGCTGAGATGCTGCTGGATTCGAATCTGGATTTCAGCCACCAGTGATAAAAACCAGGTTTTCAAGACGTGAACCTTATGGCGGGACCCCAGGGTCCCATGAGCCCACCCCGGCTCTCGCATAAACTGCGTTGCGACGTCATTTTATGTCTGTTGAAGGGGGATGATACGGCGATCTGTTCCTCTCGACGAGCCCTACACGATGCGTTAATTAAAGTTTCAAAGTTTTGTTTAAGACTACGGCAATTTTGGCAACGACGGGTGCTTGGTGAAGAACTAGAGGATGGATTTCTGGTGGGTCGCGGCGTTGATGTGCGCGGTGAGACGGAGTCGCCAAAATAAATTTATTGCGATTTTGACTTCCGTTTATTCGGGACCCCGGGGTCCCGCCATGAGGTTCATTAGTGTAGTGAGTTGATGGTCTCAGCCTTGTCACCAGTGACAGTGCACGCAAAAAAAACATCACAGAATTTGGTTTCCAAATGTACATATGCTACGAGAACTAACAAGGTCGTGACAGATACAGATAAATACAGGCAGACGTGGGTATGGACTCTGCAGTCCTACACGTGGATAGTTGTGGGTAATGCAGCAAGTGACACTCAGAGGGGGAGATGGGGGGTCACTTTGAGCCCCCCCCCCCCCCCCCCACAAAATGATTTGAATGACCCCTTACACCAGGGGTCGGCAACGAAAATAACAAGGAACATGTTTTCCAATTCGGTAAAAAAACAACCTCAATATTTCAAGAGCCACAATGCACGTGAATACGATACGCTGTTGGTGGGGGGGGTCCTTAATAAACGACGTCATGAAGCGGTTCTTAAAGAGCCACAGGTTGATGACCCCTGGCATTGTAAACATTGCTCAAAAATCACGACGTTTCGGAGGCAACACAAGTCTCCGTCATCAGGTGGGACGGAGACTTGTGTTGCCTCCGAAACGTCGTGATTTATTATTTTATTTCTATTATTATGTTTTATACCTACGTGACTTTACCGAAAAACCTAAGAGTACGAATCATTGCAGTCACGAAAGCTTCTTCTTCTTCTTCCTAGCGTTGTTCCCGCTGTGGCGCAGGGTCCGCTTTTCGGCATTGTCTTCTCCATTTGGCTCGGTCCAGGGCATCTTCAGGGGATGCGTTGACCGTCTTCATGTCTTCCTTTATTCGGTCCATCCATCGCTTCTTCGGACGTCCGCGTGGACGGCGGCCCTCTGGCTCAATACGCACGGCAGTCTTGGCCACTGATGACTCTTCACTTCGCATCACATGGCCGTACCACCGAAGCCTTGCCTCAAGCATCTTGTCCGCAATGGGGGCCACACCAAGTCGCTTCCGAACGTCTTCATTCCTGTCACGAAAGCTTCAAATCTAGAATTGCTCAAAAAGACGGCAAACATGTAATATATGACGTTTTGGGGAATGGCCCTTCTACATGGCAGAGACGAACAAAAGACACGGACTTTCGTATTTCCGTTTGACTATTATTGACGAATGTGTTAACTATTTGAATCCCACAACATCAGTTTAAATGAACTGGCTTAACCCGGAGACGAATGGACTCATCAGCAGGGGGCATTATACATCCCTGTTGCGTACCGTATATGGCACGCATGTTTTCAGTCGCCTGTGGGATTTTTGTCCGTTGACACTGCACGTGAGCTAACTCAAATTGGATTGGATTGAGACGTGAGTGAGTGTAGGGAGCGAGTGTTGTGAGTGGTGGGTGGGTGGGTGAGCTGGGCGAGTGCGGATGGTGTGTGTCTGTGTTCAGTGCCGGATTATCCTCGCAGCAAGAGTAGCTACCATAAGTAGCTACGGGCCCCGCACTTTCAAGGGCCCCGCGCTAAATGCTTTCAAGCTATCAATTTCGGTTCAGTGATTCTGCACTTGCTCTATTACCATAGCACTATGCCGCCTTCAACTTTTACGAACGACCGGGTGTTTAAGGTTAGCGCTTTGTCGCATTATCTGGCTGTATAGCAAATGAAAAAATACAATTGTACTTAACTATGCGAGTAAAAAATGTGGATTTGAAGTGTTCGTGATTTGAAGTTTCCGGTAAAGTCACGTAGGTAGAAAAATACCGACGTGACTTAAAGAATGTGTACACTATGGGGACCTCATTTGCCAGTAAAAATATGATAATTGGTTCTTTACCCTTCTATCTGGCAACAAAACTGACACCTTTTTGCAAGGAGTCATGTTTGCATAGACCGCAATACCTGCAGTCATAATACAAACAAAAGAACATAACTCTGATAATGTGCACTGTCCTTGAAGTTGATTGGTCCACACCCGAGACAGCTTTCCTTCGAGCCTAGTCTCATATGGGTTGGACCAGATGACGCGCGCCTTTTGGCGTCATCTGGTCCAACCCATATGAGACTAGGCTCTAAGGAAAGCTGTCTCGGGTGTGGACCAATCAACTTCAAGGACAGTGCACATTATCAGAGTCTTGTTTTTTGTTTGCATTATGACTGCAGGTATTGTGGTCTATGCAAACATGACTCCTTGCAAAAAGGTGTCAGTTTTGTTGCCAGATAGAAGGGTAAAGAACCAATTATCTTAAAGAATGTGTTTTAATGTTTTTTTTTTATTTAGGGCCCCTTTATAACATTTGCTACAGTCCCCGCACGAACTTACTCCGGGAACTGTCCGTGTTGTGTGGTGAGTGACGACTTGCGGGGCTTGTTGCTGGCCAGGATAACACGCTGCGCTGTGCCCCCCCTCCCTCCACCCCAGCCACGTGTCAACTCCCCTGCAAGCCGCGAGCTCCTGTCGGGTCTCGGCTGCGTCCCTACGTGGCGCTGCTTGCGCGTCTGGCGTTGCGCCCTTCCTGTTCAGTGTGTTGATGTACGTGTTTCGAACTTCCTTCGCACCGTACGTAGCCGACCGTGCCAAGCGAAGGCGTGTGCAGCTTTGTAGCCCGCATGGGTCACGAATCCGGCGACCCGAGTTCGATTCCCGCTCACGGCCAATGGCAGTGACGATTATTTGAACCGGTCATGGGCATCGCCTAGGTCGACTCAGCCTCAAATGAGGTGCGATGTATGAACATCGCCACGAGGGAGACAAATGTGGCCGGGCGTGGTGCTGGCCACCCACCCCCTCGTGCGCCGTGCCGGCTTTCATAGGTGCTCGCTAACAGCACTTGCCCCAGCAGTCTGTTAAGGCTACACGGGGGATCTTTGTTGCAGGGTGGGTGGTGTGGGTTTGTGTGTTACTGAGACCACTCATCTCAGTCAACCCATGGCGCCTGGGTCTGATCCCTAACCTCCTGCCAGCGAGACCTCGACACTACACGTGGCCTCCAAGTGCACCTAGCCTGGCACAAGCGCCGTGGTGACGTCACCGTGGTGAACGGCGGTTGCTGTTTGTTGAGCACAGGCACAGAACGTGCTGCGGTCAGCAACGAAAAGCACTACGTATTATCGAAGTGTGTGTGTTGGTTTGTGTGTCGGTGTGTGTGTGCGTGTGTTGGTTGGTGTGTGTATGTGTTGGGTTGTGTGTGTGTTGGTTTGTGTTTGTGTCGGTGTGTGTGTTGGTTTGTGTGTGTGTTGGTTTGTGTGTGTGTTGGGTTATATTATGGATGGGTTGAGTGTGTGTTGATGCGTGTGTGTTGTCCAGTTGTGTGTACAGTATCATCTGGAGTGTGTTGCTTGATGTGTATAACTGTGTAGTGGTGTGTTTGAGTGTGTTTGTGTGTGTATGTATGCGTTATCAGTGCGTGTGAATTGTTCATTTATCATCCAGCAGCATTTGTTTGAGGAAGCAAACTCTGGACAGGGTTTCGACATTTTCGCTTTCATCAGCAGAGGCAGGCCGACGAAGCACGCTGCCGGATGACAATTTCTTATTGGCAAGGGCACTCCGAAGAGAACAAGCTACATTGGCAGTGATGCACCAGCATAAATCATAACAACACAAACTCAACACAGTCGTCAATAACACCGTGGCCTTGATGAAACAATGTCCTGTAATGGGGCGACGTTTCGGCCAACGTCCCTTCTTCATAAGCAAACCGAGCGCGGTGACGACCCCGTTCAACGCGAAACAGAAACGCACTCCAACACGATGTGGAATCTACCCGGATTCACAAACCACTCCACCACCCCCATCCGCTCTCTCTTCCTCTGCCCCCCCCCAACCTCCACCCAGCACTCTCACACACACACCACCTCCATCTCCCCCCACCAACCATCTCCTCCCTTCCCCCCCTCTCTCCCATCCCTCCCTCGACCATTTAGGTTTCTCTTCCCGGAAAGGCTGAACGTCAGTTTATGCAAATCCTTTCCGGAAAGTAAAGCCGCTCTCTGCAGCTCTCTCTCTCTCGCTTCTTCTTCTTCTTTCTACCCTCGTATCCGACAATCATCCCTCCTCCTCGCCTCTCTTTCACCTCCCTCTCCGTCTCCTCTCTCTCTCTCGTCGCTCGGAAGAAGGAGTTCAAGGAGGATCAGAGTAACGATTTGGGAAGGCGACTGTGGTTGAGGAGGAAACTCGACAGTGGACGTCCGCACGCGGCACACGCTCGTGATCGTGGCGATAGCGAGCGTCTCCTGGGTTTACATCGTCTTCAAGTTGTCATCATCATCATCAAACTCATGATCGTCAACTAAAGTTATCATCGTCTTGATCATCATCCTTGCTCACGATCATCTTTGAACTTACCAATCGCCACTCATCAAACGTATCCATCACCAAACGCAACAATCATCAAATCATCATACCAGTAATTAATCACCAATTAATCGTGAAACCTATCATCATTAACAGGCATCGCCCGTCAATAACATTTCCGTATCATCATCACCATCATCACCGCCGTGGTTGGTGTCTTGCAACGAGAAGACGAAGAAGACGCAAGCTTCTTCTTGTGCGAAGACTTCCCGTGTTTGTGTTCATGTCCTCGTCCCACTAACGTCACCTGCACAGCCATGAGCGAGATCTCACCTGCCCAGCACATCATCAAGGTGAGCCGCCACTGTGTGTAGTGTGTGTGATGTGAGTGGGGTGCGATGTGTGGTCTGTATGGTGTGTGTGATGTGTGTGTGGTGAGTGTGTGTGTGGTGTGTGTGTGATGTGAGTGGTGTGTGATGTGTGTGTGGTGAGTGTGTGTGTGGTGGATGTGAGTGGTGTGTGATGTGTGTGGTGTGTGTGGTGTGTGTGATGTGTGTGACGTGTATGTGGTGTGTGATGTGTGTGGTGTGTGTGTGATGTGTGTGGTGTGTGTGGTCTGTGTGTGATGTGTGTGTGATGTGTGTGATGTGTGTGTGGTGTGTGTGATATGAGTGGTGTGTGGTTTGTGATGTGTGTGTGGTGTGTGTGATGTGAGTGGTGTGTGATGTGTGTGGTGTGTGTGATGTGTATGTGGCGTGTGTTGTGTGTGTGGTGTGTGATGTGTGTGTGTGATGTGTGTGTGTGGTGTGTGTCTGGTTCATGGTGTGTGATGTGTGGTGTGTGTGGTGACTGCCGGTGTGCGATGTGCGTTGGTGGGGAGCGGTGGCGCAGCGGTTAGCGCCGCGAACCCCAGGCCACCCGAGTTCGATTCCACTTCGATTATATCCGAACCGGTCCTGGGCCTCCCCTAGGTCGACTCAGCCTCGAGTGAGTACCTGGTGCGGTGTGTGTAGTAAACATCGCCACTCGGGGGGGGGGGGGGGGGGGGGAGACAAAGGCAGCCGGGCAAGTTGCTATCGGCGAGCACAGTGGTAACAGGCCGAAACGGTGGCCAACACCACACCGGTTGTTGCCTTCGCGCCACGGTACGCGTTTGAGGCCGAGTCCACCTAGGGGAGGACTGGATTCGATTACAGTACTGCCTTGGCGCCAGCGCGCTAACCACTGCGCCACCGCTCCTCTCACAACAACCTACACATGCCACGCGCAACTTAGTTCAACGCACACGCATGTAACCCACACGCACACGCATGTAACACACGTGCAGCCTACACAGTTCTGTCGGGGCAAATGCTGTTGGCGTGCGCCTATGAAGGCCGGAAACGGTGTGGCTGGTGATGTGGTCAGCACCACCCCAGCCCCTGTACCCCTCCACCCACCCAATACCCAGGTACACACCCACCCAATATCCAGGTACACACCCACCCAATACCCAGGTACACATACAGCCACAGGTACACACAGAGACAGACACAGGTACACACACAGACACAGGTACACACACAGCTACAGGTACACACACACACAGGTACACACACAGGTACACACACAGACACAAGTACATACACACACACAGGTACACACACAGGTACACACACAACCACAGGTACACACAGAGACACACACAGACACAGGTACACACACACAGGTACACACAGACACAGGTACACACACAGCCACAGGTACACACACACAGGTACACACAGCCACAGGTACACACACACACAGGTATACACACAGGTACACACACAACCACAGGTACACACAGAGACTCACACAGACACAGGTACACACACACAGGTACACTCACACACAGGTACACACACAGACACAGGTACACACACACAGGTACACACAGCCACAGGTACACACACACACAGGTACACACACAGGTACACACACAACCACAGGTACACACAGAGACACACACAGACACAGGTACACACACACAGGTACACTCACACACAGGTACACACACAGACACAGGTACACACACACACAGGTACACACACACAGGTACACACACACAGAGACACACACACACAGACACACACACACAGGTACACACAGCCACAGGTACACACACTGTACCCATCTTCTTGGTTTTTTCGGTAAATTCACGTAGAAGGGAAATAATGAAATAAAAAATTTACACTGTACCCATTTGAGGCCGAGTCTACCTATGGGTGAGACTCCGACATACGACACGGGCAGCCGCTTTCCTGCGCGGTGTGCTGGGCACGAGGCTGTGATAACAACAAAATGCTGAGAGCAACTCGGATTCAATTTGACATAATCACAACAGTGTACCTATAAGCACACACACAGTCACACACTCGACCACATGTAGCTGAATGCGTGTGCTCTCACGTCCTTCCAGATGCACAAGTGGCGAGCGAGACGCACGTCCTGGACGTGACATTATGTTGTACGCGCTGTGTGCATTGCATCCTATTGAAGCGCGCCGGTCGTATAGGTCACGCCGATGTCAACGCCGTGCTGTGGCTATGATCGTCGTATTCGTGGTTCTTCCGGTAAAGTCACGTAGAAGGGAAAGAATAAAATAATAACATAAGACAATACAATATTATTATTTTAGTATTTCCCTTCTACGTGACTTTACCGAAAGAACCAAGAATATGAATCCCTGCAGTCACGAAAGCTTTCAATCGAAATATAAACGCCGTGTTTAGCATTACGTATCATGGGCTCGCACTGGTGAAGTATGGTCGACCCAGTTCCCACCACCTGGCAGGCAGACGACCCTCATCCTGCAGTGGGCTGCTGCGTCTACTGTACGTGTACATTACATGTATATAACAGGACAACGTTTCGGGCAACATCCCTTCGTAGCATGGAAAGTAGCACATATGGTGTGCATGTGCTATGAAGAAGGGCCATTGCACGAAACGTCGTTTAATACAGCACACCTGTCAACAACCCCTTATCGGTGCCCTACCTTATCACGGATCAATTCAGACCGGATTGGTCATCCCGTGCCCCTTGAACATCTCAGCGTTCACCCCACAAAGTCCCATCACAAGGGGAGAAACACAAACAAATAAGACACAAATATGACACGTTTTGTTGCCCGCATTAAGACGGCTGTACGTCGTATGGACCTGAAAACTCAATTTCCCTGTACAAGAACACGGGGTGATGAACCGTGTCGGGTGTTTGTGGTTCATGCAAACTTGATTTGAAGCTTTCGTGACTGCAGGAATTACTCTGTGGTTCTGTCGGTAAAGTGACGTAGAAAGTTTCATGCAGTACTTGATTCTTTGCAAAAGGTTCCTGTTTGAACATCTTAACATATTGGAAGAAAGGGTAAAACCTACGCTTATTTTTTGTCATACTTTGATATTGTCCCATTTTGATTTCACCAGCTCACAACTTTCATTCTTGAGTCAGAACCAGTGCGCAGACACTCCATCCCTAGCCCTGCTCTGCTGTGAATAAGGCCCATTGCCCAAAACGTTGGCCAATCCACTCCTGTACGAGAGCCTGCCCACTGCGTTGCGAGTCGCCTCTCGTGTCAGTGCGGGTTGGTGATATGAGACATTGTTAATTGGTAACGACAGGGAGCATAGATAGACCTGTGGGTACTCTACAACAACTGATGTCGCTGCACTGCACTGTTGCGAGCAGCCGACTGCGTCTGTTATCAGCCCTATCCAGCAGCAGAGAGTGGTGGACATGGAGCCCTGGTCAGTGGTGTAGTAACTACATTATCAGTGGTGTAGTAACTACATTATCAGTGGTATAGTAACTCCATTATCAGTGGTATAGTGACTACATTATCAGTGGTGTAGTAACTACATTATCAGTGGTATAGTGACTACATTATCAGTGGTATAGTGACTACATTATCAGTGGTATAGTGACTACATTATCAGTGGTGTAGTAACTACATTATCAGTGGTGTAGTAACTACATTATCAGTGGTGTAGTGACTACATTATCAGTGGTGTAGTAACTACATTATCAGTGGTATAGTGACTACATTATCAGTGGTGTAGTAACTACATTATCAGTGGTGTAGTAACTACATTATCAGTGGTGTAGTGACTACATTATCAGTGGTGTAGTAACTACATTATCAGTGGTGTAGTAACTACATTATCAGTGGTATAGTGACTACATTATCAGTGGTATAGTGACTACCTTATCAGTGGTGTAGTGACTACATTATCAGTGGTGTAGTGACTACATTATCAGTGGTGTAGTAACTACATTACCAGTGGCGTAGTGACTACATTATCAGTGGTATAGTGACTACATTATCAGTGGTGTAGTGACTACATTATCAGTGGTGTAGTGACTACATTATCAGTGGTGTAGTAACTACATTACCAGTGGCGTAGTGACTACATTATCAGTGGTATAGTGACTACATTATCAGTGGTGTAGTAACTACATTATCAGTGGTGTAGTGACTACATTATCAGTGGTGTAGTGACTACATTATCAGTGGTGTAGTAACTACATTACCAGTGGCGTTGTGACTACATTATCAGTGGTATAGTGACTACATTATCAGTGGTGTAGTGACTACATTATCAGTGGTGTAGTGACTACATTATCAGTGGTGTAGTGACTACATTATCAGTGGTATAGTGACTACATTATCAGTGGTATAGTAACTACATTATCAGTGGTGTAGTGACTACATTATCAGTGGTATAGTGACTACATTATCAGTGGTGTAGTGACTACATTATCAGTGGTATAGTGACTACATTATCAGTGGTATAGTGACTACATTATCAGTGGTGTAGTGACTACATTATCAGTGGTATAGTGACTACATTATCAGTGGTATAGTAACTACATTATCAGTGGTGTAGTGACTACATTATCAGTGGTATAGTGACTACATTATCAGTGGTATAGTGACTACATTATCAGTGGTGTAGTGACTACATTATCAGTGGTGTAGTGACTACATTATCAGTGGTGTAGTGACTACATTATCAGTGGTGTAGTGACTACATTATCAGTGGTATAGTGACTACATTATCAGTGGTGTAGTGACTACATTATCAGTGGTGTAGTGACTACATTATCAGTGGTATAGTGACTACATTATCAGTGGTGTAGTGACTACATTATCAGTGGTATAGTGACAACATTATCAGTGGTGTAGTGACTACATTATCAGTGGTATAGTGACTACATTATCAGTGGTGTAGTGACTACATTATCAGTGGTATAGTGACTACATTATCAGTGGTGTAGTGACTACATTATCAGTGGTATAGTGACTACATTATCAGTGGTGTAGTGACTACAT